AGTTGGTAGGGTAATACAAGACACTTGATATGGATGTGCAACTTCTTTATTATTTATACACAACGTTTATGGGCTAATACTGGCCCCTTCATCAGGTGAATGACAGTCAATAGTTACAAAGGTATATTTATATAGTATGTACAGGAAGCCACAGAGTTGTTTTTACAAAGGTATTGTTATGGTCAATAAATTTGCTGTGACTAAAGGTTTAAGAGTCCCCTTTGAACCAGCAAAATAGAACACAGACAAGTAAAAATATTCGATAATGTATTGAACAAACAGTGATCAGGCTACAATGAATGACACTAAGGATTTCTAGTACAATGCAATTGAGTCTCAAATCTAAAATATTGGGTCACTAATATAAAATATTAACTCACCAGAGTCTTGACATTCACAGTGAGAACAGATATACTGATTGAAGGTTGTTTACAATGACAACATTTGAATAGACAAGCACGGTCAGTCTTGAATTGTTGAACAACTTGACGATGGCAGACAGATGTGTATAAATCCAGTCATGTGAAAAGTACTGTGTCGCACTACTCAACAACCAGCCTTTCTTTAGCTCTTACACAGCAAAGCTAGGCTCCATCATTATGCTCTCAGAACGCCATGGAACCACGTGACAAGACCCGGAAGTCAAAACAAAATAAAGCCATTCAAGGAAGGCAACTCTGAAGCGCTCTCAAGAAAGGCGTACCTCTAAAATAGAACATATTGAACATATGATGCGAGATGTGAGCCACAACCCACACTCAAAACTTTAAACATTGTGACCAATAATAACCATCACAATTAATCAATGTGATATTACAAATTACAACAACTCTCATAACAGTATGTATAGTATGTACATGAAACCACAGAGTTGTTTTTACAATAGATCAGTGAGAGCATTAAATTAAAATAGGGTATACATAATGTTTTTACAACATGTTTACATAGAGTGAATGACCATAGATTGTAGGTAGTAAAGGGTATACAGTGATATAAATTGGAATGTACAATAATAGAACATTAACAATTGGCGTAAACGAAAATTAATGGAAGAATAGGGACCAGGGTGTCTTCCGTCACAATGCCTGGTGCATTAACTAATTTCCAACAATGGTGTTTACCTAAACATGCTGTACATCCCAGGCGCTTAATTCTATTATTGTACTTCCCATTTTCTATCACTGTATACCCTTTACTGGCTTCCATCTATGGTCATTCACTCTGTGTAAACATGTTGTAAAAACATTATGTATACCCTATTTGGTGTCCTCCCATTACGCAGACAGGCAGTTCGCAAACCAACAACATTTACGGTTCAATGCACAGGTTAGCTACTGCCTGTTACCTACACATTATAATGGAATAGTCCAAATAAACACAAGAAAAAAATAACTGGAGCTAAAATATTTACTTTGAAAGATGGCTGAAAAGACATTTATTTTATTTTTGATTGCTACAATATAAAAACAGTTGATTTTCATAATCATTTGGGTTTAACCTTCTCGTCTAACGTGAGTCGGAGGCATCATATTGAAAACATTGCCAAAAGACATCTAGAATGATTGGAGCATTTCAGAAATTGAAGTCCCTACTAAATAGAACAACACCAGTTTTTTTGAGGATTTACTCCCACCTGTAGTAGGCAACCAGACAAGTTATTATAAAAAACCCAATAATTTAAGCCAACCATGTACAAGACTGAGGTACTCAACACCATCTTTTATTCCATCAGCAGTTAAAATGTGGAATGATTAGCTATTAGAAATTGCGACTCTGTGGCATCATTTAAATCTCATATCCATGTGGAAGAAACATGTGCACCTAAATACTATTCATATGCAATGAGGGAGTTAAATGTTTTGCACACAAGATTAAGATATATGGTGAGCAGACATGGGTTCAATTACTTTGAAATGTAATTAATTAAATTACAATTACTTTGATTTTCCTCAATTACAATTACAAATACAATTACACCTTAAATTAAAATGTAATTAATTAAATTACAATTACATTACCAATGTAATTAATTACATTACAACTTACTTTGTTAAAAAAACCAAAAAACAAACAAAAACAAAACAAATATATTTCTGTATTCCTTTAATCAACAAGATATCGATGTTGGTAAGCAGTGGTCACTAAATCCAATTCATATTTTTGTCATCAAAAAGTGAAATGCAAAATTAGATTATATCTACAATGTACACTGTTTGATCAAATTTGTATTTTGCTTATTTCTTTGGGCTTATTATCAAATACACACCTCTATCATCTCTTGTTGCAAAAAACACTTTGTCCACCACTTTTACCTTAGGTGTACTGTATCATGACATCATTACAGGCCTACCTTACAATATACATATGTAATCAGCATGTCTCTCTATCTGAAAATAATCCACATTAAACTACTAAAGGATTTGTCAACTTGGATTTATGGCTTATTACCTTTATGATTATAAAAAATAGGACTACAGTTCAGTAAGATTTTGAATATCATATCCTATGAGAAATTAACAAAGAGGCCATTTTGATAGGAACTTGACTAATAGTACTGTTAATCCCCCATTTCCTCAAATACAGACCTTCATTCAGTCATGCGTTACTGATTCCCATTGTTTCACAAATGTGCAGATGGTGATAGTTACAAAGGCTTAGACATTCAAATCTCTTTCAAAACTTAACACCTGCTAGAGTATATACCAACAACAAGCATCTTATTCAAAAACACTGCTTTGTCCTCCTTATTGTACAGAATATAATTGCAAGGGTTGCCTGATGACCACCAAAGTAAAAAAGTGAGATGTAATTTGATGTAGTTGAAAAAGTAATTGGAAAATTCAATTAGATTGAGATATTCATTAATCAAATTACAATTACAAATTACATTTTAAACATTCAATTACAAATTACATGCAATTACATAGATTTTTGTAATTAATTACATTCAATTACAATTACAAATTACAATTACCCCATGTCTGATGGTGAGTACACTTAATTATGATTTATTTAGAATAAATATAAATAAAATTACGCATCATGTCAATGTGGCCATGGATGTGAGAATGCTTTTCATTACTTCCTTGAATGTCCATTGTATACTATTCAAAGACAAAAAATGTTACAATCTTTAGAAAGTATTGTTAGAAATTAGATCACTGATGCAGGTCTCTCAGTTACTGAAAATCAGAATGTTTTCAAATAGGTACATATCTGTATCTCTCAAACAAAACATTTCCTCACTTAAATTCTATTGTACATATCCTATTATTGGGAGAAGGCTTTTCAAAGTTGGATAACTTAACTCTTTTCTTAATTGAATATAATATGTTTCAATCATTTCAGTTCTATTTACACACAATCAAACTTCTCAGTAACGGACCTGTTTCAGGCTCACCCTACTCTACTCACTAGACTGTGGACTGAAACATTATACCCATAGGTGTTACCCTAATTAACCTTTCCAGTTCTGTGCCTGTCAACTGACTGTCTGTCAAATGGGTCTGTCAAATGTGAAATAACCCCCCTATTTTAACTTAATGCTCTCACTAATCAATTGTAAAAATAACCATGTGGCTTCATTTACACACTATACATACCTTTGTAAAAACAACTCTGGGGCTTCCTGTACATACTATATATATATACCTTTGTAACTATTGACTGACATTCACCTTAGCCCATAAACTTGTGTAAATAATAAAGAAGTTGCACATCCATATCAAGTGTGTTGTATTATATTGCGATCCGTTAAGAACAACACTCTTATGAAAGTGAGATGCCTCCAGATGATCTCGAGTGGTATTGGAGATGGCTCTGATTAATGTAGACCGGCGTGATGAATCCGAGTGTAATATGTCTGATGTATAGTGTCGTGAGGCATGATCTTGGGATGTCTCCTAGGTTAATTGACTGGCGATATGAAGGACATAAACAACGATGATTTAAATCTTCACGGCGTTGACAAGACAGTGGTTGGATTTTGAGCTGGTGCAAGCATTGTCATCCTTATGGCGTCCAAAATATACTATCCAAAAAGAAACGCATAGGCATTTTGTATTTTTAAAAATCTATTAATTACCTATTGTGTTCGAACAATCGTCAAAATATGTAACAAAAGTGCATCGTAACATGATTTTACACAATTGCACAAGTACAAAATCCACTTTACCTGAAAATGTTGATTTTGATGAGATTTCTTACAAGGATTAACAAACATCACACAACGCAACAGAAATTACCTTCCAGTGGAAATTGTGAAGCAAAGAGCATGCACTGTCTGGCTATAAACATCCAGATTACTTTCGGAAATAGGCATTCGTTTTGAAGGATTTTCTAGGTCAAATCCCTTTGCCACGGAACATCGCCATTGAAAGAATGCACGCAGGTGATCGTCTGTTGCCAGGCCTCTGAATGTTAGTCTGAGCACGATATCACGGCTTGCAGCTCGTTACAACCAAACACGGTATAACAAATGACCGTCTCCGTACAGGCAGACCTCGAGTCACAGTCACCACTGCAGCCCAAGATCTGTACATCCGGGTAAAACATATGTGTGATCGTACTGTCACGGGTGAAGGCACAACAGCCGGGGTACTGGGGTGTAGGGGTAGTGGCATGTAGGGGTTATGGGATACAACCCCAGCCAGAGTTCCAGGACTTCGGAGGATATCCGGTCAAACTGTACGGAACAGGTTGAGAGAGATTGGACAGAGAGCCAGGAGATCAGACGTCGGGACCCTGATACGTCGTCACCATCGCGCTCAAAGTCTCCGTTATCTAAAATTATCCACTTGGTTGTATAGATATTTCCTTCTTCTAAACTGATGTAAAAATCATGTACTAAAGTCTGTTTGTGGACGAGTTATTGAACTTTCAATGGAGAACCTTCGAAAAATGTCTGTGATTGAAACTAACACAAGGGGTAGACCACGTTAAGATAAAACAATTATACTACTATATACTAATAGTAATATAACATACAATGCCATTCTTACCTCAATTCTTGATAGTGAGCTGACAATTCTTCCCAGATCATCATTGGCAGAGGAATCTCCAGGTGTTAACTCGTTTAGGAGTTGGTCGAAGGCAAAGGACAGCAGTTCTTCAGCAAGAAACTTGAGAACGAGTGTAAGTGATGGATTACCTGGTATAGAAACACCATATATAGCAATCATATAACTGATCATACGAATCATATTTTCCTAAAACAGTAGTGGATCATGAGCTATAGATGATGCATCAACCAAGACAGCCAGTTAGACCCCTGATCCTGCCAGTGTCTTCTTACAACAAGCATGGGTTGCTGAAAACCATTTCCAACTCGGATCTTGATGGGTACATGTATTGTTAAGAGTATTTTTGTCAAGTAGCTGTTTGTGTTTTCTGATTGAGTATGTTTTATAGTATTTATAATAAGACCATGTGCTACTGGCTTCGTCTACAACAACCATGTGTATATGACTTTGAACAGATTTTATTTTTCCCCATTGAAATACAGATGTGGATCTCAGTGAATTTAGTCTGTTATCGGCCAAAGTTATTACTCATTCATACGATCGTTCAAAAATACTGTTATTATTGGATGGCATGTCAGTCTAATTAGTCACGGTCTTATTTATTGGCAAAGTCATTTACATAAGCATAAACGTAAAGGACTAAGCACAGACACCTGTGGTACTCTGACTTTCAGGACTCTTGGTTTGGATCTTAAGAGATTTACAATCACACTATTGCTACGGTTTCTTATGATATCAGTTGGCCTTAAACTATACATACCTAATTTATACACATGCTCACTGTTCCTTACACGAGGGGCGCTGGGGTAGCCTAGTGGTTAAAGCGTTTTTTGCTCGTAACGCCGAAGACCCGGGTTCGCTTCCCAACCTGGGCACAATGTATGAAACCCATTTCTGGTGTCCCCCACCCTGATGTTGATGGAATATTGCATCCCCAAAACTAAAATTCAATTCAAGCAAATCCGAAATATACACATTTATTATAAAGTACATCAAACTTCAAACTTTCCAAGTTTTCCTTCAAAATTCATATATATAGCTTTTTATATTTAACAGTAACAAAGTGCAACACTTTCCCTACCTCGACACTTATGAACAAAATCACAAGTAGAATACACAGTTGCACTACCTACATAATCTCCTATCAGAATGAACTTAAAGATCACATGCAACCAAAAAATCAAACATAATTAAAACACAATTATCACTTATTCATGACATATAATATACATTGCTGGTTACGAAAAAATATATAAACAAAATTATAAGCGTACAATCGCAAATCGAAAGTGCAAAATTGTGTACTTCGGTTTACTTCCCAAGAAACGAAGCAGCCGGGATACCGAACCCAGTCAGAGCGGGTGGGTGTGCACTCAAGTGTAACGGCTGGTTCATTTGCAGATGCCTTCACGGCTAATTGTGTGTATATATATAGAGAGATGTTGGATTTTGTAAATACATGCTCATTTTTTGTGTATAACATTTTGCAATCAACAGACATCATAACATGTCATGTGTTCAAGTATCACACCTGCCTGTCTGTGTAATTACATAATGTGACAGAGACCGAACTCGGGCCATAAATCAATGCATTTTGTTTATGGTGTATAGCCTGATTGGTGTTAAGTTCAAATTGCATGTGGTCAGTGATAGCAGCTGTGTATTGAATATTGTCATTAGCAGACAGGCAGGCAGACACACAGGTGTCAATAAAACAAGACATTGAGTTTTGTCTGTGACAACGACATATCTATATCACAGTTAGAAATTCTGTCAACGCTAAATAATGACATTGCTTTTAAGTATCGAACTGAGAAAGTGTCTCGGTAAGAAGAACGTGTGGTGAAATAGACAAATGAAATTATATAAACAGTTAATTTACTGTCATAACATATAAAAAAGCCTGTGAGATATCAACAAAACATTAGAAAAATAGCTCAAACCAAAGCCTTCACCGAGTATTCACCGGACACCCCGCTTCCAAGCTGCGCGAACCTATTTACTTGCGCACGTGCTATGAGCGCAGCCCAGCTGTTGAAACCCGTTTTCCCAAGAAAAGTCTGGGGAAAATTAGTGAAACGTTTGAACTCCGATTTCGCCCGGTTTTTTTCATCGCGTTATTTTTCATCTTTATAAGTTGAATTTGCATTTTTGACGATTTGTTTCGGTATGTCCATACCGAAAGGTATCAGAATCTGCAAAGTTGTGTTTTACGTTGCATGTGACCTTTAACAAACATAACAATGATAACTGGAGCAATTGCAATATCACAGAAGACATTCAGTACATATTCACATGTCCTCTCTACCATCAACACGTAGTATAAAACAGGTCAAACAAGTATACATTTCCATCCTAACAGGCATAAAAATCAATCTAAAACCCTTTTAGCCCACAACAGCACTTTAAACCATCTCTACCTTCATTAGAAAGGCTACGCTCCATCGACAAACTTTAGATACCATATATAAATATATGTCCAACTACCAGCATTTCTCTTTTCAGCAAGGGTTGTCTTCTACGACGTCAGCCCTTTAAATTCACATTTTCCAGACTATACAATACCATGTTCACTCATCCATACATAAACACTCACTTTCAATGTCACATTCACCTTTCTCCCTGTCAACACAGTCGCCATATTGCCACCACGCCTCTCATTTTCAGTCAAACCGTCACACAGTATTAAAACATTTTTCACCTTTTTTGTTTATCGTATTTTAAATTTTTACTGATTCATCCCTCTACAGACCCACATATATAGTTAGATTTATGCATCTGTATAAACAATATTTTCAACACAATCTCTTCCCGCAAGACTTGCTATGTGTTATATAAATATACTCTGCAAAAAAAGAAACGCACAGGTGATAATGAAATTTAAAATTAACTTTATTTTATTTCTATGCAAACAAAACCCGGTTACTTTAACCAAACATAATGTATACTTGTTCATATCCATTAAGTATCGCTCAAACACACCATTTCATGAAATATTGTTGTTTGATGATGGTTTTTGAAAATATCATGAAATTTTCACGTGTAAATGACACTTCGAACGATATGCACGTGAACGTTGCTTCACCTATGCACCAGTGTGTAGGGTATATGAGGAAGGCAGTTTAACGTGTTCAATTCACTTTCAACGCCAGTTTACTGACGAATTCAACATGCCACGACTTAGCGAAGCTGACCGGAACATCGCCATCGGACGTCTTGAGGCTGGCGAATCTCAGTCATCAGTTGCAAGACACTTCAACGTGCATCACACAACAATTTCCCGTTTATGGAGGCGCTACAATCAACTGGGCTCGACCCGCGACCGACCTCGGAGTGGTAGACCACGGGTAACCAATGCTGCACAGGACCGCTACATCCGGGTGTTCCATTTACGTAACCGGGCCGTCCCAGCAACACAAACAGCAGAGAACGTCCCAGGTCTTCGCCGCGTCTCCGCCCAGACCATCAGAAATCGCCTCAGACAGCACGGGATACGCCCTCGACGACCTCACGTAGGATGCACACTACGACCTCATCATCGCCTGGCACGTGTTCGATGGTGCAGGAACGTCCAGAGATGGAATTGGAGACATTGGCAGCGAATTTGGTTCAGCGACGAATCTCGTTTCCAACTTCAAAGACACGATGGTAGGACGAGGGTCTATAGACGGAGAAACGAACGTTACGCCCGTAATTGTGTAGTTGAAGCGGACAGATTTGGAGGGGGAAGTGTGATGGTATGGGGGGCCATTTCTTACAACGGGAGAAGTGACTTGGTGCACGTCCGTGGTAACCTGACTGCAATTCGTTACAGGGATGAAATTCTGCAACGTCATCTTTTACCTGTCATCAACCCTCAACGTCACGTTTTCCAACAGGACAACGCCAGACCGCACGTGGCTCGCATCACGATGGACTACCTGACGAATCAGAACATCACAGTTCTTCCCTGGCCTTCAAAATCCCCCGATTTGAACCCAATAGAGCATTTGTGGGACCAGCTTGGGAAACGCGTTCGACGTCGTCAGCCTCAACCCCAAACGTTGCAACAACTGTCTCAAGCCTTGCAGGAGGAATGGAGGAGGATCCCCCAAGCACGGATTCAAAGACTGATCATGTCCATGGACAGGAGGTGCCAAGCTGTGTTGCAAGCTCGAGGTGGTCACAACAGGTACTGACCTCCACGCCATCTGTACGCCCGGGTGCAATGGTTTCAGAGACAAATGATAGCTGCATGTTGTAAAGCTGACTCTTGACAACATCCATGTGAAATTTTACGTTCGTGCGATCATTAGTTAAAGTTTTATTTGGAAACAAAATAAAGTGTTTACATTCCTGAGTTTTCACCTGTGCGTTTCTTTTTTTGCAGAGTAATATATACATGAACATAAATATATGCCCTTCTAGCCCCGGACAAATTCTGTCTTGTGCGGAGGTTTTATTTGCAAGTAAACAATTTATTAGATGTTGATTTTCTTTTCTTACTGTGTTGTTAATCTCTGTCTCTGTACAAAATGTGAAATCTGGCGTTGCTGTATTTATATCGTAAGCAAGAGCCTGAAACATTTTCATTATCAGTTATAACATTGTCTTGACTTTGTCCGTGTCATCGGAGTTTTTCACAACATAGACAAAACCTTTTTAATTATATGACTTGTTTTAGATATATAGTTCTGACAGCACTTCATCGAGATTTAAATAAACATTCATTTTCGTGACACTTCATATTATTCACTTTGTTAATGTGGTTTTTATATGCAAGAATGTCGTTTGCCTTATTTCTTTTCCTAACTTTCTTTTTTAATGAATATATCGTCTCCTGACTTATCTTCATTGGCTGAAATCATGCCAAGGGTTGTCGTTTGGGTGAATGGTTCCTATTCTAGTTGAATTTATATTTTCACATATTTATTAAGGTATGTATGAACATGTTTCAACGCATTTGAATGTTGACTAAATAATTTATTCCAGTTAGTGTTTTAAAAAAAAGTATCAAGTCACCAACAATAGCAGGAAATACCCAGGGCATGTCAGTGCTATCATCTGAGCGAGACAAAAACACTTGTTGGAACTGTAAACATTGCATCATCAAGCTGAAGTTGAGATAAGCCTACTTGAGTCCATATCGATTCGTTTTGCATATGCTCTAAATTCTAATTCACGTCTTCGTTTAAAATATAGGTAGCTTATTTACATATATTATAACACTGCCTCCGAACATATTTCTGTCTTTTCGTACAGGTTTCTAAAATAATTCCATTTTAAGTCTTCATGTTTAATACTGTCATCTGGGTGTGTCCCGACCAAATACATGACATAATGCGATAGACATTCACACAATCAAATACGTTCTAGCATCTGAGTTGAATATAGACGGAGACAGGTACGTTTTGTCACGGTTCGGTGGTTCGGGATTAAGGTGCACTTCTCACATAAAGTATGCAACAATAACAAAGTGCTTGTGGTTTGACAAAGCGATGCAAACACTCACTTTAAACTCTACATTTCACGTAAATTAAACCACATAATGATAAAATTCGTTTAGAAAAGTTGACATGAATTAAGTAGTACATGTTTCAATAATACTGAGTTTTCTGTGAAGCGTGGGTTCTTTTGACACATTATTCTATCATTACCCATTTGGGACTACCTCCGTGGCGTAGTGGTTAGAGCGTCCGCCCGGAGAGCGGAAGGTCGCGGGTTCGATCCCCGACCGCGTCATACCAAAAAGACGTTAAAATATGGTACTTGTTGGTTCCTGCCTGGCGCTCGGCATTCATGGGTACAGCAATGACTGGTCGGCTCGGAGTCAGTATAATGTGTCTGAGTGGGGTATTCATGCTTCACTGGTATGGTATGGTATCTCAGTGGGCAAGCACTATAAAACCAGCTTAAGTCTAGTACAAGGCTAGTACACATACATCCGTCGTCATATGAGCGATATATTCTCAAGCACCACGTTAAACCCAATTCCACCGACACCACATTACCCATTTGGGAATATCTATCTATCTGTCTATCTGTCTATCTGTCTGTCTGTCTGTCTGTCTGTGTCGTGTGTGTGTTTGTATGGATGTATATATATGAATATAGTTATGGGTGCGTTGTTTTGGGATCTGGGATGCAGGCATTGACAATATAACTGCAAGAACAAATATTTGTAGATTTAACAAACCCGGCAATGTGCGTAGGCCTTGACAGAGAACATAGGTAAGAACAGTTAGTCATCACGAAACTGTGTACATATGAAAGCTGTTGGATAGAGGTGACAAACGTATGCGTATATATGAGTTCTAGTACATGACGTAACTAACTGTAATAGTACATGCATTGTTTGCCTGGAGGTGTGTGGAAAGGTGACAGTAGGTAGTATTAAAGACATACTTGTAAATGTACTTTGGTGAATCCAAAATTATCACTGTCAGAGAGCAGCCATACATGTCAGAATGCAATGTAAGTTCCAGTAACATCAGTGATAGGTGTTCAAATAAAACTCGCAATGATTCACTCTGATAAAACTCTCAAGTTGTTCCTGAACGTAGAGGTACAACTTGGTCGTCGTATGTCTATGAGGAGGACACTTGTTTTGCTTTTAAGTCCAGGGTCAGTTTGAACAGTTTACTTCGATGCTTTTAAGTCATCGCCTCTATAGAATGAACTGCTTTTGTGTCTCAAATTCTTCTGTTTGAAATTGCGTTGTTCCTCTGATTGTAACTGACGAATTTTAAGAGATGTCTGTTCCTAGCCCTATTTTCCTTACAGACTCGATGGCATCTTGTCTGATGATGTGAGTTTGTGAGGATCTCCATTACTAATGCCTTTGTGTCCACGTCCTTGGACTCTGGTAGTCCATACATTTGAGTTGCTTCTACTGTACAGTTGAAAAGCATCAGTTCATGTCGAAAATCAGCCTTGTCTCAAAACTGTATCTATGGCAAGACCTTACATTACTACGGAAGTACGGAAGCGTCCTAGTGCCACAGTCAGAATTTTTTTATCCGTACATTACATCTGTTTCAATAACATTCAATTTTCGAACATAACTCACGCAGACTTGGGGTTGATTTCTGCTGAGGTTAGCTGTGACAATGTCAGCGGAAGTATCAGTAATATTTTGTCTAGCTGCAAATTTGCTGATGCGGCTTAAAGCAACACTAACTCACTCACTCACACACTCAATAATATAGTTAAATATTGTTGATAGATCAGATAGATCTGCTGATTAGCAGACACATTCGTGGAAGGTCTCCCTGTGAAGGATTTGAATTTTGGTTTTCAATTTACCAGTTCAGTTTCCGGGTTTTCAGCAATGTGTTTAGGTGTACTGGCTCCAAACGTAAAGACCCACTGCCATCTGTATGGTATACTTTACCAGTTGCCTCGGTCATTTCGGTAGTGGGGACTTTGTGAGTGACCCTGAGAAAGCTTTCGTTTCTCATCCCGCTTATGTATCGAGCTGATTCTCAGGGGCCATAAGGTAAATACCAAACCACCGGTATCTATCATATAGATCTTTCATTCCTGGGAAAATGTTTGTTCGTTTTCGTATACTTATGTTTTAGCAAGGACTTGGATTTACGAGATCGATTTGTGAGATCGATCGCACATGCAATCAGCTTAGGCCGCCATCTTTGTTTATAATTTTATCGAGAGAATTTAGTTGTGCTAGACTATCAGTTTTTCAGCAGAAGAAATATAAAGGATGAGGACTATTTTTATGGATATACAACTTCTTTATTCTGTATAGGCGACGTTTCGACATAGATTCCAATGTCAAGCAAGTGATGACACATTAAAATATATGTCGAAACGTCGCCTATACAGAATAAAGAACTTGTATATCCATAGAAATAGTCCTCATCCTTCATCTACCCAACTTCTAGAATGCCAATCAAAGAAGTCAGAAGAAATATAACTGTGACACATACTGACATTATAACTTGTCATTTGACAGTGGGCAATACACTGTAATATATCAATAATCGTTAAATATGAACAAGATGCGAATTATACAACATTACCTGGCTTAGGTAATCCTATCAAAAGTATCAGAGAATACAACGTCGCGAGTTTCATATCGATGCTGGCTCAGGTCACTATGTCGAAATAAGAGCACCCAGTTGCCCTGACAGATGGGTAAAGAGAGCTTTTCTCAAACACCTCTGTATTACATCATCGGACGAACACACCCCGGTGTAAGCTGCGCTGCACAGCTGCACTGCACAGCTACTTCTCGGATTCATCAACCGTGACGAGAACACAGAAGGATGTCAATGTCATACCGTAAAGATCGTAAGGATCAGGATATCTTTTAGCTGGATAACGGGATAACGACGTATTAACGTATAATATATATATATATATATATATATATATATATATATATACCACCTACAGATGATGTTGCTTTTTTGCTTTTTGTCTTTGTTGAACGCCGCACTCAGCAATATTCCAGCTATATGACTGCGGTCTGTAAATAATTGGGTCTGGACCAGACAATCCAATGATTAACATGATGAGCTTCTATCTACGCAACTTGCGTTTATTGACATTGACTATGTCCTGACCACCTGATTCCGTTAATGGCCTCAAACGACAAGCATGTGTTGCTGAAGATCAATGTTAACCCGGATCTTCACAGGTATGCACGACCGATGTCTCAAGTGTAACAAACTTGGATATGGTACGAAATAAAGTCATGTGTCAGGCTTAGGTTTACGAGGTTATGTATAAGAGAACATAAGGTGCTTGTTTAAGGAAACCATCACATATTATATTAAACAACATTAATTATTATACAGGATATTCAACTGTCATAACCAAGATATACACAATTTCTTGAGAACGATTAAAGCATCTCTTCTTGCCATTGTCATTGGTGTGGGACCAGTGTGCGAAATAATTTCCAAATTTTGCTAGCCAGTCGGGCTAGCTATGCCTGAAAGTTACTAGACCACAAAATAATTCACTAGTCCGAAATATGAAACTAAACAAAAGATTACAAAAATAGATGAGAATACGAAATTGTCGGCATGACACAGGTTTCATCATTAGGTTGCTAATATGATGAACATGTTTCTCATGCCATAATCGTTCATGATTTAAAAGTGTATTATAACTTAACAAGTAGAGAGTGATATATTTACAAAATGACCCCATGAAAATTCACTAGCCAGCCGGACCAGTGACTGTGGAGATTTACTGGCCCGACTGGATGTATATTAGCCACGGTCTAGCGGGCCGGTTCACTCTCATTTAGCCAGAGTCTAACCAAAAACGTCTTGTTAAGACAAAATTGCACTATGGCTAGGTAAGAGATGCGAGCCAGGTAATTAGCATTAGCCACTGAAGCGTGAGCCTTTGTTTAAGGGCTATAGTCTATATCTACAATGAGACACAATTTAAGAAGTATGCAAATGTGTGTGCGTTTGTTTGTATTATGAAAATTCGGTTTAAACATATTTATTCTGCAAAGGGCCAGATGAAAACTTAAGATTGATCAAATCTTCTTGAAGTGATAATAAAGTTATGTACCGATTTGATAATATCATGATTTTTAGATCTAGGTAATTCTTGGTTACCATACAGGGCGTCATTTATGTTATATCCATGTTTGAAATAAGATAAATCGTTTCTTATTGCATCATAGTTGGGACATATAAAGAGATAGTGAAGGGTGTCCTCAAAGGCAGCACAACAAGTACATGATGGGTTATCGGATATAGATCTACTTACTTTATGGGCATTTAAATCGCTGCATTCTACTTGGAGTCTGCAGTGGATTATTTGACAGAACCTGTTTCCAATATTGATATCAAACCCAAATGAAGTATTACAATATGATTTAATCTTATTCTTGAATTCACTTGGTGATTGTATAAGTCTGCGTTCTCCAAGCAAAGAATTCCAAAATTCAATGGTACTGGATAAAAATGATCTAGCAGTTTAGTGATAGTTTATTTCTTAACTCGCCTTCTTTCTAAAGGTAAGAGATCAGTTTCTGAATATAATTTAGCCAGTTGCTATTTCGCCACGGTGTTGGACGTTGCTCATCACTGCCTTGCCATGTCCGCCTCTTTACTGGCCGTTGATATATATGTGAAATATGTCCGATTGCTGTTCAAAGCAGCAACTAGTTTTACAGAGGTGTGTCCGCCGGAGAAGAAACACAAGAGCCAAATGTAGGGAGATTATGCGAATGGTTAAAATGTATTGTTAGGCACTGTTAGTTTGTTTCCACATGGTGGTCGTTTGGATACAATCCGGTTTTAGGCAAATATAGTATCATATGTCACGTAATCGTCATTTGCCGTCGCCGTCATCGTTTTCCAGGAAAGCAGGCTTCCGAGAGATAAATAGATTCACAGTTGTCTGACGAGTATGTATATGAGGAACAAAGGATAAATATTTTTAGCTCCACGCACATTAATCATGCCCTGATGCACACAGACACACAGTCAATAAATAGGAGAGGGAGACAGAGAGGGGACCAGAGCGAGGGAGAGAGAGGAAAAGCCAGAGCGTGCGTGAGAGAGAGAGAGAGAGAGAGAGAGAGAGAGAGAGAGAGAGAGAGAGAGAGAGAGAGCGACAGAGAGAGACAGAGAGAGAGAATGAAGCCGATTTCCTAATTTAGAACTAGAAAAAAAGGGTATTATGTAGCACAAAGATGCATCGAGGCACTGAGGGGCTGAGCAACTCAGCACACGCTTGACCTTTACGCGAACACCGGGTGCCGTGATGGGTTTTCAGTAATTCTGCCACATAATGTTGAAAGCATTTTGCGTCCAATGGAATTTATTTCGGTGGATGTTGTAGACTGATACCATAGATACGTGAATTGTAACTTGTGTGGATGTCAATCCACCACGCTATGATCTTTCACATAAAATATGATGTCAGTTGCATAAAAGATTTGGGCTCGTTTGCTAGCCTTGAATACAGAATCATTGCACAGTGGTTTGTACTCAAGTATCTGATTATGTTAATACCTCAGTCTTTATGCTGAACAAACGTTAAGGGTGGAACTCAATATACGGATCGGATAGTGAAAGAGTGAGTTCAGTTTTACGCCGCACTCAGCAATATACACCAGCTATGTGGCGGCGGTCTGTAAATAATCGAGTCTGGACCAGACGATCCAGTGATCAACAGCATGAGTATCGATCTACTCCATGGGGGGATACGGTGACATGTGTCAACCAAGTCAGCGAAAATGATCACCCGGTCCCGTTAGTCGCCTCTTACGACAAGCATGGGTTACTGAAGATCAATTCTAACCCGGACCTTCACGGGTGGCACATACAAGATAACATTGATACAGAGCACCACGCGCCAGCGTTTCAGATGTAGGCCAGGTTTCACGCTGGCAACAACTTGGTAACGTCTTAGAGATTGCGATATGCTCGCATCGGTTATGTGACATAGACCTCCATAGAACTGGCAAAAATAGTTCTCCCACCCCCAACAATATTATGATAATTGTTCATATCAGCTGATAAGCTTCAAATTGCCAATGTGCCAGTTTCATGTAAATCAAAAGTGATAGCGACTCAAATAGAAAGTGGGTTCGAAATAGCATTTTCGGTGACACATGCTGAAAATGGTTCCCTATCAGGTATGGTAAATGATCAGGCGTAAAAGAATTTTACTTCAGCAACCCATACTTGTCGAAAAAGCGACTAACAGGATTGGGCGGTCAGGCTCGCTTACTAACATACGCTGTCATCGTAACCCAAATGCGTAGATCGATGCTCATGATGTTAATCACTGGTTTGTCTGGTGCAAACTCGATGCATGTCGCGTGTCCCTATTGTCTAGGTCGGTGCTCATGATGTCATTCACTAGACTTGTCCAGACTCGATTATTCACAAACCGCCAGTATTAGGCTGAGCTCAGAGTTAAAACAAACAACATTAAATGTGAATGTCAAAGGAAACAGTGTTTATTAAGATGTGCCAAACTTAACTGTATTCGGCATGGTGCAGAAGTTCGGCTTGCTCCGCATGATTAGGATAATATGAAGCTATCACATCCATTGCATTCCGGTATATAGGGATCATATCATCAGAGTTTAACATTAGGATGTGTCGAACATAATATCCACTTGGGTAACTGAATTGTAATTTTGTAATAATATTGTACAACAATTCGGTTTGTTCTGCACGTTTCATAGTATTCGCATTTGAGGAGAAAAACTTCAATATCACGTTCGTATTCTATCTTTGAAAAAATAAGCTCATCTCAAACTTAATGTCATGATATTCTTAGCTGTCATTTGCATCAACAGATGGAAATGGTAATATTATACTTCCCCAACCCATGCTTGACGTAATGTTGAGAAGACTAACAGGATCGGGCGGTCAGGCTTGCTGACTTGGTGGATGCATGGCGCCGTATCCCGATTGCCTAGATGGATGCTCATGATCATTATAAGATGCATATGATTGCTGTACCACTAGAAGAGGTTTGGAGAAAGGAGACACGGCTACGGATGATTCTCTGTGAAGCTACAGTGTGTATCTGAACTGGAGCGGACAGTCGGACATCTTCTCCTGGTAGAGCTGATCAAACCACTCACTCTGGGCCACAGTGAAGCAGTTCTTCCAGTCACCCACTTCACCTGCAACAATAATTCGAACCTGCTGTCTTGATATATTCAGCGAAGTTTCAAATGAAGGCATTTTTAACGAACTGGCGGATATATGGATCTGTTTTGTTTTGTTTTGCTGTCAACACGTTGAAATGTTTATAAGGAACTTGGGTTTCAACGAACTGATATTAGTGGTCTCTCCCTATATCTCTCATTCCCTTTCCCTCTCTCTCCCTATCTCTCTCATTCCCTCTCCCTATCTCTCTCAATCCATCTCCCTCTCTCCCTATCACTCTCTCCCTCACTCACTCCTATCTATCACTCTCTCCCCCTCTCTTCCTATCTATCACTCTCTCCCTCTCTCTTCCTATCTATCTCTCTCGCCCTCTCACTTCCCCTATCTCTCTCCCTCTCTATACCCCCTTCGTGACTCCCCCTCTCCCTTCCTATCTCTCTCGCTCTCCTTATCTCTCCCTCTGACTATCCCTATCTTTCTCTCCCTATCTCTCTTTCTCTCTTCCTTATCTCTCTCCCTCTGCCCCTCTCTCTCTCTTTCTTTCTCTCTCTCTATCTCTCTCTCTCTCTCTCTCTCACGTAAATACAACGTTTATTCAGTGTTATCTGTTTTCTGTACTTTATAAACAAAATGATTAACAGTTACTTTCACCTATGATTAAAGATCAAACCACCTTTTCTGAACACCGCACTGTGAGACTTGATATCTTTCATCTTGCTAAAGCTGCAGATGTTGACTACCTCCTCCAGGAACTCATCACTCCTTTTGACATCTAGAAAGCTGCACAACCTCCTCAACTGTTCCACGGGATCCTTTCACAGAATAAAGTCAATGAAAAGAACATTTGCATTGCGTTCAACAAGCATGCGTTTGACTAACATACTTCCATGTTGAGGAAATAGAACTTTGCATCCCTTAATGCAAGAGGGGAACTGAGCCGAGTGTCTGTTACGAGAAAGTGACGCGTGTATTCAAAGCGCTGTGAGCATATATTGCTGGAATATTGCTAAAAGCGGCGGAAAACATAGTCACACACTCATTTTAGTCTATGCTCATTTTCACGCACATTGTACATGAGATCAGCTTGCGCTGGTCGTCGCGAGGGGCCGCGAGAAATGATCCCCTCACACTGTACGTGTTGGGGATTTTCTAACGCTTCAACAATTAACTCGGTAATTCAAGATCCAAATAATGCTGTGTGTCTCATAAGCATTTCCTCGATGGTCTACTATCACTAAATAACAACTATAATTCCTAATTTCGACAATATTTTGGCCTATATTATACATATTGGGCAATATGCACTCATTTTAGCCTTAGAGCGTCCGCCCGGAGAGCGGAAGGTCGCGGGTTCGATCCCCAACCGCGTCACACAAAAAGACGTTAAAGATGGTACTTGTTGGTCCCTGCCTGGCGCTCGGCATTACTGGGTACAACAAGAACTGGTCGGCTTGGAGTCAGTATAATGTGTCTGAGTGGGGTATCTCATCACGTGCAAGTTAGATTTGAAACATACTCAAAAAATGCTTCCGTCGCCAACACCATTGAAAAACGAAAGTGGACCAAATCTATGACATTGAAAAGCTAAAAGGATTATATTTACACAATAGAAATATACAGCACAGTGCTAAAGTTTGTCGCATGCTTGCCATGTAATGTATAAAAAGGCAAAGAGGAAGTAAGGTGTCATCCAATCCTTAATTAATATAACATTAGTGCTACAGCACATGGAAAGACATTAATCGGAATCTGGTAATGCGAAACTGCTTTTCATCCACCTCTAGATAAAAGTATGTGCACATACCTCTTTTAAATCTTCATAAAACACTGTCAAAATAGGCCATTCTGGATAGGTTTTCTTCACCTTCTCCCACGATAACACATGGTCAATCCAAGAGCCATGACAAACTGTAACATAGCGTATATTGATATACCGACGTGGTTAGCATACAGGTGGGAAGATGCTAAGCAACTGCGCCACACGTGTCTCCGAAGGTCAACTGCTTAGCATTGGATTGGACACATCGGGAGCACCCGAAGTAGTTTCTTCTTTTATAATCAATCACGAGGCATCATTCATTTTACTGCTGGTAGAATGATCTGAACGAATCTCATGGAAGCGGGAGACGTTTACAAACACTTTGATCAAACAAAATATTTACGCTCATCCGTTCGGTGGGTTAGTTTGGTGTATAAAGCGTTCGCTCGTCATACCAAACACCTGGGTTCGATTCCCCAAATATGTACAATTTGTAGGGCCTATTTCCACCGCCGTGATATTGCTGGAAAATATCTAACAGCGGGGTAAAACCACACTCGCTCACTCACTCTTAATGTTCATATATCAAACTTGCTTTGCAGTCTTTGGTAGAAATATATAGAGCTATCACAGACGTTATTTGCCAAGAATAGTTTCAGATAGATGGCGCTTTCAATGAGCATGCGCCAGACCAATTTCGCGACTTTCAATTATGTTTCTTGTAGAAAGTTACACATACGAACAAGTTCCTATACAGGGTCCCGATCAACAAAGCGGTCGTAGCAATATGACATTCTTAAGCCTACGGTAAACTGTAGAGTTGCGACAGGTCGTAACATTACGAGTGATTTTGGATCAAGTTCCTATACAGGGTCCTGGGCCCTGTTTCACAAAGCCATCGTAGCACTACGACTGTCGTATTGTAACACAGATATACGACAGTCGTAGGTCTACGATTGCTTGGTGAAACGGCGCGCCGTTTCTATATGACATTTGTAAAGCATTTTGGTAAACTAAAGTTACGACAGGTCGTAATGCTACGAAAGCTTTGTGGACCGGGACCCAGGGCCTAGATTTTCGAAACGTTCGTAGTACTACGAGCCCGTTCTTAACACATTATCCATGATCAAAGTTAAACAATTTAGGGCTACGAAAGTTTCGAAATTCTAGGCCCAGGAAAATAAAGTTACACCTACATTTCCCTAGAGCACACGGCTTCACGAAGTTCTCCCACTTCCCTGTGTACTTCATGAAAGGCAGCTTAGTCATGAACGGGTAATACGAGGCCATCACGTCTTTCGGGTTCCGGTATATGGTGATCATTTTCGGCTTCTTTTGGATAATAGCAGGAGACAGTTTGGACAGAGGGGCATTGGAAGCCAGGATCCTCGGGGAAGGTAAGTCCGCATACTTCTCCTCCGGCGCACACTCCATCATCATTTCATTCATTACGACATCATCTTCAACCACACGTCCACGTAACACCTGGCGGGTCAGCTCCCACAGCCAATGGTTCCCTGAGGGAAATACTTCTGTTTAATATACCATAATATGCGCATGACGGACAGCAAAGTGACGAACATCAAGTCATAACCATACGATCGCAGTCTTGGATTAATTCGTGGACTAGAACTGATGATTCATATTTTCACCAAAGGGCCTGTTTTCTGTGTTTATCCTCAGTAGAGCACTTCCCATACCTGATTTATAATCAACGGGCTATAAACCAAAGTTACTAAACTCACACGGCTCGTGGCTGAAATACTGTTAAACTTCATTACACGAAGGTCACTGACAGTTACACGTTGACAAATGGCCCACTGACTTGGTTGAGACATGCCATCGTATCCCAATGTGTAGATTTACACTTATGATGGAATTAACGTAGTTTGTCGTTATATACGTAGTGAGTGAGTGAGTGAGTGAGTGAGTGAGTGAGTGAGTGAGTGAGTTTAGTTTCACGCCTCTTTTAGCAAAATTCCAGCAATATTACGGTGGAGGACACTAGAAATGGTCTTCACACATTGTACCCATGTGGGGAATCGAACCCGTGTCTTCGGCGTGACGAACAAACGCTCTAACCACTAGGCTACCCCACCGCCCCCTATCATTGCAGCATGTATTATAGTTTAAAATTCTGGCCATAACAACATTTGTTAAACTCAAAATCACGAAACAACAATAATACCGTATTTCCTCTAATAAGCGCCGGGCCTGGTACTCCGTTGAAACAATAAGGAAAAACGGTACTTACACCTTTTTATAAATTCGCGCTGACTGTTGTAAAGCACAGTTTGTTTTTGATTTGTTTTTTTAATTATTGTTCCCAATGTGATGAGTACAAGCATATAGAGGAATATGTGTACATAGCAGCTAGTGGGCTCAGTAGCGATATAGTACACTAAGTACATTAACTATCAATATCAGTAACTTTTGGAATTGTTTTTTTTCAAAGAGCAAGTGTAAATATACCTCTTAGCAGATAAGATTATGAGGTTCAGTAATGGGTTCTTACCTAAAAAGCCAAACCAGATCAAAGTTTTTGTCAAATTAAATGTTTGGATACGTTTCGTAATCCACTGTTCAAGTTTCTTACAGAAAGTTTTGGTTTCATCACATTCCCAGTATACATGGCATAAGGTTTCAACAGAATCATTACACAAAAAACATATTGTATTGTCCACCAGATTCATTCTAAAAAGTCCTTTTTTGGTACAAACAATTCCGTGCAGAAATTTATATTGAAAATTTAACAGTTTCACATCTCTTAAATTCTGTCTATAAATATCAAAATTATAATGCCAATTAAAATCAAAGTGTAAAGCACAGTTTAAGGACTGCTTCCTTCGATGTATCAAGTCCCCACTCACTGATGTTTATTTGAGCACACATCATTGAATGTATCTTTTAAAGGTATGTCTTGTGTTCACCTTAACGCTCTTACGTATGATTGTACGAATTAATTTGACTAATCATAAAATAGATTACTTGAAATGTGTACTCACCTGATTTCGGGTATCCAAGTATCAGCACGTCATCTTCTCGTATTTTGACAGATGTCAGCCCGGTGATTGCCCTTGTGTTGAAAACAGGAAAAATGTGGTCATTGTGCAGAATGCATGTCATAGTGTCCCCGCCATCATCATCAACCTTGATCTCAGTCATCCTTTACAGCTGCAACTACAAACGGGTGGCATCAAGTGAGTGAGTGAGTTGGAAATGGGCGTCACACTCTGTACTCATGTGGTGAATCGAAACTGGGACTTCGGCGTGAAGACCGAACGCTTTAATTACTAGGTCAGTAGCATAAAGTGTTTTATGTTGTAAACACATATATATTCACGACCTTAATACGGATTGGTAAACTAACCGTTCTGGTTTATTTATATAAATCTCGGTTACAATATACAGATGTAAAGAGCCACGTATACACAGTCAACACATGACGAGAGCGTTGTTCCACAAAACACGTTGGGAGAGCAAAGAAACCTGAGAGCAATGGAAATAAATTAAGAATTTAGCAAAACCTTTTGAAGCAACAATAAAATCATGGACTGAATTCAATAGGTTTATATACTAAGCAGCAAATGAAACGTCAGTTTGGAATTTTCCTTCGCAGAAACGGATGACTGTAAACTCGTTTCATGTTTTGATTGTATATCTTTTACAACATATCCAACTTTTCCTGAGCAAAGACATTCTTTCCCAAACTCAGAATTGAACCCAGGAAATGGTCTCAAAAACGCAACCTGATCTCGGAGATGGTACGGTGTTCTCCATGTTTTTCATGCTGCACGTGCTGTTCACAAGGACCAGCCCTATGAAATGCACCCCCAAACCTGGTTGAAACATTCACATTACAACGTCAGCAGGATGCCGCGACTCACGACAGCTCAGAGGAACCAGGCACTAGGAAGACTTGAAGCTGGCCACACTGCACAAGCCGTTGCCAAACACTTCCAGGTCAACGTTCGGACCATCGACAGGCTGCAGCAACGTTTCAGGGCCACCAACACCACAAATGATCGCCCCCGTATTTTGAATTCGTACTGACGTTCTTTTGCTGCTGAGTTTATTTGTTGAAGAGTCATTTGGATTTTGTTTTTGAACAGAATTAAAATAATATCCTTTCACATAGAAATACTTGTGATTTTACTTTGATTATAACTGGAACACATGAAGAAAAGACGAAGCGATGCCCACAAGATGTGTTGATATGGCCGACTGAGATATGGCGTGCTGCAAGCGGGAAGATAAGTTATTGACGTCGCAAGAGCAATGGGATACAGCCGTCGTACTGTGTATGACTTGCGAGGTCGTCTACAACAAACTGGCACCACTTCTGATCGCCCAAGGTCGGGTCGTCCACGTGTGACGTCACGAGCAGAAGACCGTCAAATCATCCTACGTCACCTACGTGACAGATTTCTGCCCGCTACACGAACCAGGGCTGAGATGTTTAGAGGTCGACTGTCCTCACTGACCATTCGAAATCGGTTGCGGGCTGCCAATCTCTATTCTCGACGTCCATATCGTGGGCCAATATTGACGCCGTTTCATCAACGTCAACGTCTGCTGTGGGCCCAACGTCACCTCCGATGGACCCAGAGAGACTGGAATCGAGTCGTCTTTAGCGATGAATCCAGGTTTACCTTCAGATTCGCGGACGGCAGGCATAGAGTCTGGAGACGACGTCGTGAACGGTATGCCCAATGTTGTGTACAGGAAGTCGACAGATTCGGGGGCGGAAGTTGCATGGTGTGGGGTGCTTTCTGTGGGAACAACCGTTCCCAACTTCTGGTCATCCGTGGAAACCTCACACCTGCTGCTTACCGCGACCAGGTGCTCACCCCTGAACTCGTTCCGTTCATGGCGGCTCATGGCCCAGATCTACAGTTCCAGCATGATAATGCTCGGCCGCATACCGCGATGTTGACACGAAATTTCCTTCAAAACGCTGGAATCAACGTCAGAAACTGGCCATCGAGGTCCCCTGACCTTAATCCAATAGAGCACGTTTGGGATGCACTTGGGAGAAAGCTTCGTGGTCTTAGGAACCAACCTCAGAATTTGCAGGAACTTGGCGCTGCCTTGCAAGAGCAATGGCGCAGAATCCCCAACCACGTGTTCACAAGTATCAGGCAGTCGATGAGGAGACGGTGTTTGGCAGTGGTGAATGCGCGGGGCGGCCATACACGATATTGAACTGAGAAACTTCGCATTTTCATGCTTGTGACTTGACATTCTGTATACCCATGTTTTGGAACGGCGGTGTAGCCTAATGGAACTGATTATGGCACTGTCAGTGTATCGAGTACATCACACAGATCTCAGCAATGAAATAATAACCATTTAACCATCTTACCATCTTGTTCCTTTATAGTGCCCTGAAGAAAGAATGTGAAGTTTCTTTTTTGACTCAGTATATTTTGAAGTCGTCTAGAGCCGTGCTCCGTAATTTATCGTTAGTTCGACTTCCACATGTAAAGGTCACATTAATGGTTACAAAGTGACGTTACACATTGATAGGTCAACATCCCACAAAGGTAAAACAACATACGTCTGCAGATGTTCCGAGATGACTCCGCTCACTCAGTCAGCAGACTGAAGTGCACATCAGCATGATCAGTTTGCAGCGTAGCATCAAGGTATTGCTCTTAGACAATGTAATGAGTGAGTTAAAGTTAAAAGTCACAGTGGCAGTATTTCAGCCATATCGTGACTAAAAATAGTTACAAATTCAAAATAAATGCATAAATTTAAAAAACCTGTCGACGAAGGACAGAAAAATCAACTAGAATATCACAGTATCAAAAATTGAAACTAGCATACGTCTCAAAATTGAACTTCAAATTAGGACAACATAATATAAAAACGGTCGCCATCAACTGAAGGGAGATGAGCATAATAAAGTACTGTCGGAAATAGAAAAAAAAATGTTTTTTTCGCATTGATATCTACAATCTATGTAGATAGTTGATACGTGTAGGTGTGAAATATCTGACAGTGTTAAACTTAGTTTCGGCCTAACTACAGTTTCAGTGGTAGGGAGATAGGAAACGTAGAAAAAGGACTTTACTGAGGAGAAATTGGTGGAGAAGTCCAAAGCGACTTATTTGGAACAGACCATGGCTTTATGCAATTAGTGTGCGATGATATTATATTACAAAGGATAATATTTAAATGTCCATTTTAAAATGAAGCTTAGCTTCATTATAAATGATAGCTGACGTAAAAAATATAAGTTTAATACTGAAACTATGAAGGATGTAGCTACCATGGAGTCTCACAATCACTATAAACAGAAACAGGTAGGAGGGGCTGTCTCAAAAGCAAATCAAGGACGGGTGTGGCAGACGGTGGTTGTGTTCGGGCTGGGGGATAGAGATATAAGCTGAGATAAGATAAACCTTTAGGGAATTAAACTGGGAAGAAAACGGCATGTCATAACAATTTACAAATAATATCAAGTCCTGTCGATCTTCGGGTGGTCATGCCACCTATTTACAAATTGAGACCTATAAACGATGGCTGATTTAAGCTTTTCCATGGGTATCATACCCTTTTACGTATCTCAACATAAACTTTATGATCAATAGATGAGACATATTCAACACACATGAAAAAAACAAAATATCTTTGAGATGACCCCTTGTGCTTGTAGGCAGGACGTGCATTTCATGCCAGGTGAGTCGACGGTTCGTCATCATACCTGCCTGAGCGACCTAATTGCCATCTATAGTGTGATCTATTGTTTCGAGCAGCTATTCGTATTTTTTCTACGTTTTGCTCGATTTTACGAGTAAACATGCTTTTCTGGATATACTATTACGCATCCCAATGAATGCCCAGTTAGGCCGATGAGGGTTATTTCGATATATGCTATTTATAAATTTGTCAAGTGTAGGGATACAGTCTTTTTCTATTTCCGACAGTACTTTAGAGACCATGGGGACTTACAGTACTTTTTCTACCTGCATGGACCCCAGCTGGATTTACACTCTCCCTTCAGCCGCTGGCGATTGTACTGAAGGTGCAGCCATCACTCAAAACAACAAACATACTACGATTAAAAATTGTGGTAGATCAAACTTTTCATCGAATGCTTTGGAACTTACGTATCAGCCAATGCAGTAATAACGTTAGATATCATTACGTCACAACAACATAAGGCGACAATACTTATGCGGTGTGTTTCCGACGTGGAAGCCGGCATAAGTGCTCAGTACTCGAACATACCAGTACATAAATATAATCCCACCTGTTGTTTTTTTATCAGCAGTATCAGCTGGCATTCTCGATCTATAGATCCTAATAGTCACGTTCTGTGCATTTTGATAGGCATGCATGTATCTTTTATTGATAAACCACATTAACAGTAATCTTAATAGGTTTTGGCATATCTTGTTTTAAATTACTAGTATTCGGATTGGCCGTCCTGCTGTCGCTAAATAAAATGACGCTCAAAAGAAAGTGGACAGGCACATTTTCGCTTAATAGCAGAAACATAACAAAACTTTTAAACATAATTTTACACGTGTATTGAGCCATAATGTCAGACACAGGTTCTCACAACCAAATGAAACTATTAGCGCGGTGTGAGGTGAAATTGGGTTTAACGTCGCGCTGGAGAATATTTCGCTCATATGACGACATGCATGCGTGTGTATGTGTAGGTGCGGCTGCTTGTACAAGCCCAGACTGAAGCTGTTTTTATAGTGCTAGCCCACATTATACTGACTCCGAGCCGACCATTCCTTGTTGTACCCATTAATGCTGAACGCCAGGCAGGGACCAACAAGTACCATATTTTAACGTCTTTTGGTATGACGCGGTCGGGGATCGAACCCGCGATCTTCCGCTCTCCGGGCGGACGCTCTTACCACTACACCACGGAGGCGGTCTATTAGCGTGAGTATTGTTGCAGTGACGTAAGCCAAACATGCATGGGGTCCAAATGACGCATTTCATTATTGCAGATGAAAAGTTCAATCTCGATCAACAGACACCCGAAAGTCATAACAGCAGGTATCACACTCAGCATCTTGTATGGCCTCCGTAGGCATCGATGCAAGCCTGTACTCGTCTACGCATGGAAAACGTAAGTCGCCTGATTTGGAATTCTTGCCCATTCGTAGTGGAGAGTCTGTTCAAGCTGTCGGACGTTGACTGGCGGCTGT